CCCTGTGCTAAAAATAGTGCCAAGCGACTTTTAATACAATTAAAAAAATGGGGCAGGACACGTAGAGAAGGGCCATAGGGAGTTATAGAATAAAATTTCATTGCAAAATCTTCTTGAGATATCGCCCGGAAACAAAAGTGTTACACACACACAGAATGTATGAATTTACGACCTTGAACTTTGATCTTTTGCCCTCAAAATCAATAGGGTTCTTCTTTAGGCCATAGGGAGTTGCTGTGCAAAATATCATTTCGAAAGCTCAAAGGGTTCTCGAGATATCGCGCGGAAACGAAAGTGTTACAGACAGACAGAAATACAGACGGACGGACGGACAGACAGACCCAAATTAATATCCCCCACTTTCAGTGAAAGCGGGGGACAAGTATTTTTGATGGGACATATATGACCCCTGTGGCAGTCAGTGGGCAGAGCCCATACCCCTCTGGCAGTAAGAAGGTTAACATACATGTAATTTATAATATATCTTCATTATATGCATCACGATTCGTGATCAGAAGGTCGTGTGTTCGAATCACGGCCGAGACTGACCCAAGTCGATAAAAAATAGGTAGCAACTGTTCCTTCGCCAGGCGCTCGGCACTTTGAAGTGAAATTTGCGGGTCTATTGGATAAGACTTAAAAACCGAGGCTTTGTGTCACGGTAGGCGTTGGCACGATAAAGAACCCTCACTGCTCAATGGCCCAGAGTGCCGAGTAAAGGTCTAAATCTGCAGCCTTTCACCGGTATATGGTGATGTCTCTATATGAGGGAAAAATTCTAGAAACGGGACGTAAATCAACATACAATCAATCAATCATTACATGCATCCTGCGAGATTTAATAAATGTAGCTATTGTGTCAGTTGGAACTTAGTCGGGGCCCCATCCCCGATAGCTGCCTTTTTTGTTGAGCTCTAGGAAAAATTCCCCTGCTATATATAGAATAATTTTGGGATTAAAATTATTTAAACATAAATACACACACACAAACACACTGAAAATGTTGTCAAATGTGTTGTCGAGAAATACACATATTGAAAACGGCAAAAACACGACATTATTGATATAAACTAATTGAATGATTAGATTAAACAAGATTTTATTAATGCGATTTTTCTTATCGATTTGATAAAATTCAATTGACTAGAATTTGTTGTAAAATGAGGATTTTTGAATAAAAGATAAAGCGAAAGCCATCGTGTTGATGACAGGATTTCGTGTTAATGTAATGAAATGTATTGTTCTACCGGTTTTATTTCAAGAAATTAAACTGGCTTCATTGACTTAAAAGAAAGGAAAAATGATAAAAAAGAAATAAAGCTGATCGTACCTGAACAAGAATAGATCACACTGGAATATGTATGTTATTTTAAGGAATTCTAAACAAATTAATTTGATAATTTAGAAAAAATAGATATAAGATTATAAAACTTGAAAGAAGATATTTGTCAATTATTTTATCGTCAACGTTTTCCCTGTAAATCTCTAAAATAATGATCAAAACACAAAGAGCAGCTTTTTTAGATTTTGAAAAGTTATATTTTTAAGAAGATATGTCGTCCCTAGAACCAATTCGTTAAATTAAGATCACCCTTAGTATCCAAAACATTAAATTTGAATCCACTCTAATAAGGGATGTTAAAATGAGCAAAAAATTTTTTTATAGTTTTTAAATTATTCAAAGATTTTCTTTGTTCAATGAACATAATGGTCAGTGTAACTTACATAATATTTACAAGCCGTACTAACGTTTAGATTCTTAAAATACAAGCTTTTTCAAAGCATGTTGAATTGAAATTAACTTGTTATAAATGTTTTTTAATGAAGAGAATCAACCATGTTAATCATTGTATGATAAACACCTTGAATGTATATAGGAGCCTACGCAGTGAATTACAAATCAATATGTACACGTACAAATGAAGAAGTCCTGATAGGTCTGTTGACAAGACCATTTATAACTACATTGTATCAATAAAGACAACTTGTATGTCATGCAACTTATATCAAATTAATAAGCCATCGCGTATTTGATGTTCATTTTCGCCTACTCTATAGTAGTGATTTTTTTAAATAGATTTTTACTCAAATTTTGTCATACAACCTTACTTTAAATATGCATAAACTCAAATTACACAATAATAATATTGAAATGCTAATAGTTCCCTTATATGCTAGATATGAAAATTGTCGAGTTTGCATGGAGTATATAGTAAATACTGAGGTATCCAGCTAAACGATGACAAACTGTTCCCAAAGACTACCTTGAACCAGTAAAATAACATTTGTTTAATTTTATTCGGACATTACTGAACTTCGTTACATTTAGATACTAATGGTTAAAGGTGGTGTTGTATATTCACTTCTTTCGCATAATACCTAAAGATTCAGCAATCTGTCATTGGTATGCAGTCGAAATAATGACGTCGTGGAGCAGTAGTATGATTGTTGGAATTTTAATGTGGAGATATTAAATAGTTCCATTTTAATTTTTTTTGTTTATCTTTTTCTACGTTTTCTTAAATATATTTTTACAATAAACACAATATCAAGAATTTATAATGTACATATTACACAATGAAAGTATCTTTAAAAAATTGACATTTTTAACCTATTTTCCTTAATTTTAAAAATTCATAGTTACTTGTTTAATTTCAACGGATTTTCTCAACCTTTTGTCTCGAAATTAGCGTAATGAACATGTAAATTGATTGTTATGACATGCTTGCATCTTGTTTGAAGATAATTTTTAACACGTAGAGTTTTCTTCAGGAGGAACAAAAAAAGTCAACTGTTGCTTTTAATTTACACGTAATAACATCGTGTAGAGTTTGTATTCAAAATAATTACATAGTAATGATCCATGCCATGGTCTTTTGTGAGAGACGGATGCACATATTCGATAGGATAGACATGCAGATGAAATGTGGACAATTCATTTTTAAAAAGAATTACTGGACCTTGGATGTTTGTTTTTCTTTTAATGGTTATTGCTGGTTGTTTTACGAAACATTGTATTCGCTTGCAATGAATTTAACAAATTTGTTATCTAAATCGCGCTTGGAAATTGAATTTGCGTACTAAGATTAACTCTAAGTTGGAGAAAGAGATAACACTTTCTTGGTAAGTAATTGATATGTGCAACTTTTTTTTCCCGACTGTTCAAATTAAAAGAACTTAGTTGAACGTCGATGTTATTGATTATTATTCGCATAATCATACAATGTATATAGTCGATCACTCGTTGACATCTCTAATTTTGATCAAAATTTTTGAAGCTATACTATAGTCCAGTAGCCCTTTTCACAAAAAACTAGATGAAATCCCTCGCAAGCGCGGGGAATTGAATTTATACCACTAACGACATAAATTATATAATTGTAATTTTACTGACAGCCTACAGGCTTATAGCAGGAAGAATCCCGCATGAAATAGACGAATGTGTCCACCCCCCCATCCCGCCCCTACCCCACCCCTTTCTGTAAAAACTTGAAAAATAACAATTTCGTTATTTGGCGTTTATTGTGAAACCTTTTATACTATGTTATGGATATTGTACTTCAGATGCCCTTATTTCATTTACGTCAAGGATAAAAGCAGCGAATATGCACATTTTACTGATAAACTGCATGATTTTTTTTTTTTCGGGGGGGTGGGGGGGTGGACAACTCACAAATACTTGGGTCTTGGTTTATAAATATGTATGTACCTTATAGACATGTAAAAAAAAATGTAGTTTACTTTTTTTTACATATCAATTAGGTACATACATATTTATAAGCCAAGACCCAAGTACGGGGTCTGTGTAAAAATTAGTTTTTAACGCCCTATGAATAGGCCGAGTATACTATTTGATACAAATGACTGTATTCAGAAATAAACTGAAATGTATTGATTAAAGCACAACATTTTACACAGCTTTAATTGTATTTGAACAATACCTTATTCATTAATTTTCTCTTTTCATGTTAGCAAGTTTATTACGAAGTACAAATTCGTTGCCACGATGCTCTCAGTAAGGAATGCATGTATATACAAATTTTACCGATAAATTTATTAAGAAAACCTACTAAATACATGAAATAGTCTTTCGATATATAAATATATTCAAAACGTATAGTGTTATCAATGATTTACCATTATTTCAATAACCATTCTTACAAAGCTTTTTTTTTAAACGATCGCCTCGTTTTTCTTTTTAACATCGGGCTCGATGCTATATGATGTTCAAAAAGCTTCCGTCAATATTAAGATCGGTGAATGACGAAAATAATTTGCATATTTCCCTCTTTCATCGGTTATCACAGCTTATTTCTTTTACATCATTTAAATCAAGTTTTGCTTGAATAATTCAGTGATGACGTTTAATAAAATAAATAAATGATTGCTTGTTGTCAGTTTCATTAAAAATTGCCAGTATCTTAGATCCGCCATCCGGAAACGCCACCGCTATTTCATGGCTGTTTATAGAAAATAAAAGTAGACTTTTAATTTAATGCACGATACTGATTATGCAAGTGAAATCTAAATATAGTTTACGGACATCATCTTGTATACAGTGTATTGTTAGAGGAGTAAGTAAGAACTCTGGTGCACCCGTTTTGGAGTTTACTTGCAAAATTTATTAATATATAAGTATAGATGTTGCGGCTAAGATTAAAATGCGACAACTCTGTAATTTCTTTGTTAATATGAAATTATTTTTAAAAGTAGTATTCACAATAATGTTGTGACCGACTATTATTTTATTATTTGGAGAATTTTGCAAATAGTTGTCTTAGTCTTAAGAAATTGTGTAAAAAGGTTCCATTGTATATGTTAGTACATGTATGAATTTAACCAGGAAACCAACAATAGCATCTACAATATAGGTTGGGTTATGATCGATGTAACGAAGAATTTAAGACAAGGTAAATGTAAACTAATTTCTGAATCAAAATACACTTGTCTTCCCTTTATGACTCGCAATTCTTACGTCGTCGGATTCGGATACAACTTACGTTTTTTACTTTTATACATGTACAAATAAACGAACCCATTCAGAACACCTCCCGTATTAGCGAACATCATGGCAATAATAAAGATTTCTACAGGAACATCATCGACAGCAATTTTCCAGGTTCCGTAAATAGCCACTGCCCACCACTGGATGAGAAACGCAAAGACAAAGAGAGACATTGTTTTGGCAGCCTGTGTGGCCTTACTGTCTGGATTTGTGTTACCAATGGTGCCTTAATGAAAAAAATCATTTAAACTAAGAATGAGTAATCATGTAAAATAAATACGTTCAATTTAAATGACAGTTGTTTCTTGTGTATTTTTGGATATAAGAGTAATGATAACTCACTATTTATTCTGTTTGTTTCCATTCGAATCTTGTACCATGTAAGTGTGTAAAGAGCCGTGTTTAGTGTCATTACAATCAGTACCGGTATTGTAGAAAAAAACAGAAAAGAAATATTTCCGGCCACTCCACACCTAAAAGGTTGAAAATCAAATGAACTAAAAAAAGAAGGTAAAATTAAGTGATGTTTTTAAAATGATCTTTGACCCAATTCAATTTTCATTGGAAGATCTTTTTTAACTGATCTTGAAATTTTCATTATGAATAATTATTTTATTTTTTATGCTTATTAAACTACAATAAATATGGATTCTGTGAATGTAATATAAATAACATCTTTGAAACAATCTTTTAATTTAATACAGTTAAAAATATCTGTACTCACATAGCTCCCATGGGTCCGATTTCGTCAGTAAAAGTTGCACCAAGGCATTCAAAAAGCGGGATTCCAAACATAAGCAAATAAAGCTTCCAATCATACTTTCCAAGAAAAATATTTTTACTGAATTTCATCAGAGCAAATGCATTAATTGCAATGAGCGATACAAGGAACATTTGGGCGGCGCAAAATAGGAATGTGACGAAACCATAAAATTCGCACAGCTCAATTGGATGGACATGGTCTTTAGCTATGGCCATTTGAAAGTGATCCATAAACTGTCCTAGGCTAAGGAAACCATCACAAAAAGCCAAATAAACGGCAAAACGTTCGCACTTTGACCATGATTTGAAGAAAGTGCGAGCAGTTTTAGACCGAAAGGATATCACAAGAATAGCAAGTACCGATGTAATGCTACAGATTGTACAAATAAGAGTCAAACAGTGAATAAGATAGAAATATGGTGTTCCCAGTCCTAGTACTGGAATGTTGTACCGTGAATCTTCTACAGAATTCATTTTGGCTCTTTCTTCAGTCTATTCTTGAAGTTTATGGGCATGGCTTAAGTTCCTTGTTTTTATAGCGTCACATAATGCTGCCTCTTCTTTTTATTCCTTAATCCGATGATCTATAGTTAATCGAATAATGTTGTCTATTTATAATACTTAATACATCATATAAAAAGAAAAAAAGTTGTTGATATCCCGATTTTAAAGATTTGGAAGTGGACATGGAGACAGTCTACTAGTATTTTTCAAAGTTTGAATTTCAACAAGGGAGAGAAAGTTGACAAATGGAAAGTGGAGGGTGGAATGCCTTTAGTCTTCCAACAAATGAGCAATTTCTATCAATATTTTGAAGAATTATCTGCACAATGTATACGTAAAACCTCAAAAATATATTATCATATGAAAAAAAAAAAAGATTTTCGAATATAATTCAAAGAAGATTTAGACAAAAATGTATTTTAAACTCTGACTTATTCCCTTGTAATTTAATAGCCAGTCAGAATTATTCATGTGGTTTCTTAGAAGATACATGCCTTTTTTTTTGCTTGTAAAAAGTATGCAAAAGCACGACATTCCTTATTCAATAAGCTATTATCATTTAATAATCTCCACAATGTAGATGTGCATTTGATGCTAGGGGGATGATTCTTAAGGTAGAATAACACACCTAGTGATATTTTTGATATCAGTACCTCTCAAATGTATAGAACCATTAACAACATTCCAAGAATGCAGATATTTTTCCTTTATTTTTTAAGAATTTTTTTTATATTATTGAAACAAATTTCAATTTCTTCAATTTTCAATTTGTTTTCTTTCATTTCATTTTCTTTTCACTTGACATTCCCGTTTATTATTTAAGAGTTGAAATACAACAAAATAATTTTTATTTTCATCACACATTTTTTATAATTTCTGAAAAAAAGTGATTTTCTAACATTCAAGTTCAATTTCCTGAAAACCGGTGGTTAAAACTGTACCAAAATCTATAAATAGGAAATACATGATTATCAATGACATGCAAATGAAAAATTGAAAGAAATTTTGATAAAGAAAAGTATAAAAAAAATTTCATCAAAAATGTTGGTTCAGAAGATCTTGTTTGAAGAGTTATCTTTCTTGATATGGTAGGGCCTAAATAAACTGGCCCCGCCGTCACCAAACTTTTATTTACCTCAACCTCAAATCTCAACTCAAGTCACTGAGGTAGCCTCAACTGAGATTTTCCTCAATTCGCCGTCACCAAACGGTTTGAGGAATACCTCAGTTGAGGCTGAAAATTTACACTTAACTCAGCTGAGTACTTACACGGAAAATTTCGTGCGATTTCGCGGATTTTTTTTACGTAATGATTTTACGCAATAAAATTTTGTCGTCTGTGGTTGTGTTTCTTTACAATGGCTGAAAAAGAGATAGAAAATTTAATATCTTCGGCAAAAAGAAAGAGGGGGGCTAACTGGTCCTCCGAGGAGGAGATTGCATTAATAGAAGAGGTGTTGAAGTTTGAGGAGCAGTTATTTGGCAAAATAAAAGGGGCAGGTGTAAAGGGGAAACATAGCAAAATAAAGGAAGAGACGTGGCAGTCAATTACGGACACACCCAATCTGTAAGTAAGGTATATCAACATTCAACTTACCCGAGTAGCTCTTGGGTAGCCAGACGACTCGCAGTATTATCTCCCTTAGTAGCAGGTGTATACACAAAATTTATCCTCGTTTAATTCAGTCCTACACCAAAATTTAACGCTTACCTTATCTATTTTTTTACATGAAGTTTTTACTTTCTTTTGTGAACCCGATTGAGACCTAAACTGAAATCAACATATATAATAAATTTAACATATACATTGTACTTAGTGAATACATTTTTCCTGCGTAATATTGCTCTTTCATCAGTTATTTTAATATCATTGTTTACATGTGCATGCAATATTAATGTTTCAACGAAAGTTACTTTGTGTTATAGGCCTATGACTGATTGAAAATGATCAATATCTCTAGTCTGTTAGACCAAACCGCCAGTTTTTTAATTCTTCGAACTCAATTCTGAAAGTTAAAACTTGAAAGGGGGATGTCGTTGTAACACACTTCTCATAATTTTATATGTTTCTTTAAATCGATTTTACAGTATGTCATTTACATAATTAGTAAACAGAATTAACTCTAATTTGAATTTTAAAAAAATCAAACTTGCAACGACTTTTAAGAGTTTAAAACACCAAACAAGCATCACATTAATTCCATGTAATTTTTAAAATTATATTTCTATTTAGTATTTCAAAGGAACCTTGCTGGTATAAATATATTAGAATGCTAAAATATCTCTGTCAGAGAAGGATCAATGAATTTTTCACTTTTTAAGTAAGTAAGCGCTGATCCAAGCGACCTCCCCCCCCCCCTCCCCGACTAAATCAAAACAAAGGTTTTAACTGCCAAACATCGAAATAATTCAGGTTACATTACATTCATTTATGTGTCAAAATGTGGTCCGAGAATGACAAATTCTCATAAACTTATGATGGGCTTCTATCGCCTCTGGGCCCCAATGGGCACCTACACCTCTTACCATCTAATAGCGTCCTCTATCGCAAAACCCTGGATCCACGCCTGCAATGGATTCGATTTCATTTGTCCCATATCGGTGTATGCTGAATTACACCGGCATTAACTACATGTATATTAGACAACAACACTGAACACTATACAATTCCTATTGTGTGATATTTTCATGCCATTAGAATGATCTGCCCTTGGATCTAAAATTTAAATTATCGTAAATCTATATTGTTTACTCATTTTTAATCCTTCAAACGTTCTTAATATTTTATTAGGCCAAGGTAAATGATTTTAAAAACTTTGCATATATTTGCCCCATTTTAGAAAGGAACATTGATTTTTGTACATCAATACCTTTTTGTCGCCAATGGTAAATGACTGGCATCCTAAATTGATAATGATATAGAAAAAAATGTATACTTGTAGTGTAAAGTGTCCTTAAACGGATTAGTAATTAACAAAATATAGAAAATGGGTGGGGAAAAATATTCCCCAATAATGATATCGATCAATTTACGTTGATCTACATGTATCGCTTGAATATTTAATTTTTTTTTAATTATTACAGACAATTCAGAAATGAAAGAATATCAGATTCAATTTCAAAAAAATATGACAACATAAAACAGAGAGGTAAATACTGCATTAACTATTCAACATTTAAGTCGATGATTTTGAGAGAAATAAAATTAAAAAAAAATAACTATTTTTAAAAATTGTAGCCAAAGATAAAATCGATGGAATTGTCGCCCGAAGACAGGAGGAGGTCCACCACCGGCACCAATGACCCAAGCTGAGGTGGTCCTTTACCAGGCCATGGATACGCGTCCGAACATTGTAGGGTTGATCGGTGGGATTGATTCAGATGGTAATAATTATGTTTTATCGCATCCCGCAAAACCGAGCTGTTCTGTACTTCAAATTAAGTAACTGTTGGTGTTGGTGTATGCGAAGTTTAGGTGAGAAGTTAATGAGAAGGCATAATGGACGATTATTTACGTCTCTGTCATATAGTTTTAAAAGAATGTATACATCAAAATAGTGTTTTATCTAATCTTTAATTTAATTAATTATGCAATATAATCAATTCTTCCATGTTCATTGTAAATATGCTTAAGTTTTAAATGACGGCTCCCATTTTTAAAAAGAACATTAGCCTATTTCATTATTTAAAATTAAAAAAAAAACTTACCTTATATGCGTATATCTTTAGTTTATAAAAGTTATAATGATATGTGATAGCTATCTGTTTCTTTTTTTTTTTGTGCACTTAAAGGAATGATAACGGCAAAAAGTAATGTCCACTTATTCTTCGTTTCTTATGACCTCATTTTTTTTCTTTTCAATTTGTTAAGAGAAAAATTTTCATAATTCTGATTTGACTTGTAGAACCATTTATATTTTCTAACCAACAAGAAGGGATTTGTCAAAGTTCCGCTTCAACAGCAGTGACAGGCGTCGTTTGTGATGAGGGAGCTGCGGGCGGCGATGCCTCAAGTTCATCTAATGGTAAATAAACTATCTAGAATGATGGGTTTATTAAAAAAAATGTAAAAACAAAAATAAAATAAATAGACAGTAAAGGAAAAAATATATGTAGGTTTTATAATATACATGTATTTATACACAGAGAGACATTCTACGGAAAAAAGGAAGAAAAAGAGGGCACATAGAGATATCCTTGAGGAGTTGGAAATTGAAAATCTGAAACTGGAAAATGAGAAATTGATGCAAGAAACGAAGAAGCTTGGAATAGAACAAAAGAAATTGGAAACAGAGGAAAAGAAATTGCAAATTGAAATTGAATTTCTTGAAATGAAGAAGTCTTATTTAATATGCAAACTTAATTCTGAATTTCCGGAATGTCTGTTGAATCCAGCATGCATATAGTTATTCAAATCTCTAGTCTCCTTTCAACGAGTTGTTGGCGATCGTAAACTTTTGATTCAAGATTATCTGTCCAGCATACCAACAAATACAATAATGCATGTAGCAGTAAAATTATCAAACGATTTATTTTCGTTCAACCAATTATTATTTCACGTGACAAGTGTTGGTTTTTATCGTATTTTCAAATTAAGCTGGTATTCTTTGGATGACTTGCTAACCTGAAAAAGAAGTTTAATCTTATTGTCATCGTTTTTCATAATTTATGTCAAACACACTACATCAACTCTTAAATGCATTGAGATCTGCGCATAGTCCCGCATCAACCGGGAAAAGGGGTGAAGGGATGGAATGCATCCCCCCTTCAATAATTTTGCCAATATATATTTCTACAGAACAAACCCAGTTGCTAATTAACAATTGTGCTCCCTCATGATTGTCAAGGGGTTTCTGTTTCTTTGCCCCCCCCCCCCGCCCCCCCGTCTCAGAAACTGAACATCTTTCTTATGTACCTGCGTACCTCTACGCAAAATATGTGTGTGCAATGTAATCCCTCATCTGACTGCCCTCTTGAGAGTTGCATGCAACATGATGAGCGTGGGGGTTGAATGCTTCTGCTGGCTGGTCTTTACCGTCCATCACATCCCCAGTCTGGATTCCCAAGTTGTGAAGAATGACACAGGCAACCACATAAGACACAGCCTGTTCCGGGGTCGCTCTATTTGGTGTAATTTAGATATTAAATTTCAGGTACTTTTACAATTAAATAGCATTATATTTATGAAGAATTATGCAAACTTTCTTGCCTCAGAGTTCCTTGCAGACACGAAAACCGTCGTTTAAGAATACCAAAACTCTGTTCGATGAGCACTCTCGTTCGGCATAAGGAGGCGTTGAATCTTTGTTGTGCATCGGTTTGTGGGTTAAAGTATGGTGTCATCAAAAACCGCCTGCAGGGGTATCCAGAATCACCCAGTAAAAATCCATTATGTTCACCTGCATGTGAAAGCTTTTTTTAATTAATTACAGCGCTAATTCAAAATGCCCGTTTTCGGATTTTTTACATGTTGAAAACTTATCTATACCAAACTATTATTGAAACAACGAACAACAAAAATGTTTTTAAACCTCTCTCAAATTGTTGGCAAAGTGCAGATTCCCGCCAGACCCGACTGTCGTGTACGCTTCCAGGCCAGCTGGCACAAATGCTTGTAAAGCGGAACTTGGCATCACAAACCATCTAATCATAGCAAATAAATGAATAAAAAAAAAGTAAGCATAAAAAGAGGACGGGGGCTGGGTCAAAGAATTGTAAGCCCCAACTAAGTTGCAATTCAAGGCCTTTTACAAGCAAAAAAGGCCATAGCATACAGATATTCCAGACTTTGGAATGTATTTTAGTATTCAAACCATGACCGTGCTATAACTATGATGAAGGGGACACTTTTCACTTTAAGTTATAATTGAGAATTAAATGTCTCAAAAATAAAATTATCGCTTAATTAATTAATTAACCTTAAAAATACTGACCTGTACATTCAGCGAGTGATAGCCTTTTCTGTTAACGAAATCCTGTTCATTATTAGAGGGAGCTATAATTCTAACGAAAGTGCCATCTACACACCCAAGGGCATTTGGGAAACCTATATATAGAAAAAAGAAATATTAATAATAAATAATCTTGCATCAGTTGTCATTGCAGTTTTACTATCATTGGTCAAATAAAATACAAATATTATCGATAATCATCTATTAGAAATAAAATGTATTATATATAATAATATATGATATATTTATGCAAGCTATTGAAAAAATATCCACATACAAATTCTTAACTTTGTTCCAATATTTTTCTAATTAACTGGTTTTTAATTTGACAGACCCCCACCCATCCTCCTCCCGCAAAAGAGGAGAGAAAAGAGAACAAAAATGTAACTTTTTTCTTATGACTGTCAGATGCAAAAAAAAAATGGTTTTAATACAGCTGTTTTGTTTATATAGAATACATTCAAGTCTGAATTTATTTCTTGTTGATGACATTGGCATTAACTTTTCTTGATCTTAGCAAAGATATGGACTCTATGGGTATAACTTTTTTTGATTATGTGCATAATAATTTATTGCCTCTTGTCAGACAATCTTATTAGGAAAATTAATACTTGTAAACAAGCATATTTTTTTAAAAGTGGGGGGGGGGGGGGTTCAACCGAATAATACTCTGCATGATACAATCTCTCACCAAAGGGTGTATTATGCTTCGCTACAACAATATTAGTGAAGCGCAGCAGGAACGATAACTCTGGGTAGAGATTGTGCATGATATAGACGACCATTCCGGTGTACGAGTTACTCATTGTGGATGCTAAAAAGAAAGTAGAAAAGAAAAACAAGCAGAAGTAACGACCATACCAGCTATTTTGATGAATTCTTGTTTTGTTTGCCGTGCCTTTTCATCTCTGGGGAAGCTGATAAAGTGCCATCGAATACCAAGGATTGCATCTGTCACAGAACGACAGCATCTCCCAACAGTGGACTCAGATACATGCATACTGTCGCCTATAAGCTTGTGATATGCCCCAGTGGCCAAAAATCTTAGGCATGCAAGGAGCTGCAACAGCGGAGGTAAGGCATTGTTTTTGGTACTTTGGAGCAGATTTCTGCCGATCATATCTAGCAGATAGAGAACTGTTGCCCGACGAAACCGATATCTTTCGAAAATCTCGTCGTCATTATATATCTCTAAGGGATTAAGGTGGTCACGGATGACTCTTTTTGAGGGCCTGTTTCGAAGCAAGTTGTATCTCCGGCGTCTTCGTCCCGCCATATTTAATTTGCTTGAGTGTAGGTTTAAGGTAGAGTCTAAGTTACACTTAATTATTTGAGTATTTCCTCAAGATTGTCACTTGAGGAAAACTCAAATTTATGTGGTGATGGTGACTTGAGGGTGAGGTAAGAGGTTTGAGGAAAAAACTCACACTTGAGGCTGAGTTTTGACTTGAGGAAAGTTGGTGACGGCGGGGCCTGGTACTTTTATATGAAAATTTTACATATAAATCATTCTTTATGAACTTAAACTATTTTTTGCCCAAGAAGATGAAGTTATTAGTAGATATATACTTAAAAAAAGTATGTAGTGCTACATATTTGGCAAATGGATTAGAAAATAAGCTTACAGGTTTTAGTGCAAAAAGAAGCAATTGTAGTACATGTATTTAAACGAAGCAGTAAAATGAGGAAAAAATGCACATAATGATATAATGCAATACACAGTGAACATCATGTAAAACACACAACAGCAGTAGCAAGGGTTTGAGAGATTGAGGAAAAGAAAGATGCACAACCAACAGGTAGACAAACATATACAAAACAAAATAAACATATAAAACTAAAATGAAAGAAAACGTACAAAAACAAAAAAGAGAATGTCACAAAAAAAATTATGCACTAAAATAATAGATAAAAAGCGTAGCAAACACACACTCAAAACATGCAGATGGCATCAATAAAGCGACTAAAAATAAAATATAATAATAGAGTACTTACACACTTCATCGGAGTTTCACAAAAAACACTTTGGCATCTTTAAATTAATAAAATATCAATACTTACAGTTGAAGCCATTCCTAATGTTAAATGCAAGGAAAAAAAAGTCAAAATATTCAGGTTATTTTCATGAGATCAAATTTCAATCATATTGCAGATTTTATATCAAATACAAAAGTTATACTTGTAATTGATAAGCTTTATGTACTGAAGTGGGTGATATTTTTTGAAACAATTGATTTATTTTTTGTAACTCTAACATTTCCATCTGACTGCTTCTCTGAAAGAATATTTTCAAGGCCCTCTGCTCCTCCCCTGTCAAAAGCAAGTTTCAGATGACTGAATGCTAAACCAGACTGTGCAATCTTTTTAATCATATAATTCGAAAGACATGAAACCAAAGGCTGCAAAGTATTCAAACATTCAGTGGTCTTTGATTTGTATTCAATTGATGAAGAAATAAAATCAACACTGAAACTATGTTTCAACAATATTTCAGATGATAAGGCATGATGCTTTACCAATGATTGTAAAATCTTGACATCTTCAACAGCTGAATGTGCATTGTATGACACAGACATTGTATCCAGCACCAGTAATTCTAGTCTGTATGTGTCCCTCTTTGGAAGAACTTCTCTAAATACATGTAGAATATCTACAAAACCCTCAATGGGTAATGATCCACATGCTGGGTGATTTGATAATGTCTTAATATCACAGAATCAAATGCCTTTCCATTGTGGCACACAAGGATGGGCCTATGATATTTATTCAACCACAATTTAAATTCATTAAGGCAAGTCTCGATTTCAACACTCTGTACCTTCTCTTTGTGGCAAAAAAGTTCTCCTCCTACAACATGAAGGCCTGTTACTGCTGTTGCAGATGTTGTGATGGCACAGCTTGGTAGGACATATCTGTTAAAGATGTTGTCACCAGAAACACAGGCTAGCTGCACAATCTCTACAGAGGTACCTAACATGAACACAATATCAACATTTATTGTAATGAAATGGAGTACATGATATAAAAAAATATTATAAAGTGAACATGATACAATGTAATGTGAACACACTGTAGAGTAATAGTGTGTTTGCATTGTTTTCATAATATACTTACCTAAACCTGTAGTCTCTAGATCAAAAAATAAAAAAGTATTCTCATCATTTGATAAAGAAGATGAAGCAGGTGGCAATGTCCTGTCTGGTATTTCCTGCAGGTGATCAGGTTGTAAAGTGCCAGCCAGATCTATTGCTGACTCGTATGTTGTCCCCTCCTTAATCTCAGAAGTTGATACCTGTTGAATAGTAAACACATACAGAATTGTACAAAACTTTCAAAATCATAAATTATTAAAGGGTAGTTTAAATTATCAAAATATGTGCAATCCAATTCAAGTACCTGTTTATTTGTTTGATATGAGTTCCCTTCTACGTTTCTTACACTCCACACTGCTTTTCACAATCTTCTGATAATCTCTTTTCCTGGAAGCTTTACTTATGTAAGAATTGGTGTGCTTTCCTGGAGAAAGAAGCGAGTTTTCATACACCTGAAAGTGTTTATGAGATTATATAATAGATAATAAAATGTGTATTTCTTTTATAGATAATTATATATATACAACAAAATGAGTTGGAAATGTTAATTACCAGTTAAATAAATACAAACCCTTGTGAATGTTTGAAGACCTATGTTTTTATGAGCCACAGCTGCAGCAACTCTAAATGATGTTGACTCGGATGCACTGTAAAAGTTTGTCTTTGGGTTTTTGGTGGCTACAGTGTGGTTAAAACTTTCATTGGTCTGGGTGCTACCCACTTTTAACAGTTTCTCAGAATTTGCAGCATATTCTTCAAACATTGTCGTCAGATCTAACTGTAGATCTTCTTCTGCCATATATTTACCATATGGCAAACTCGTTGGTTTATACGTGGACGGACTTTTCACGAATCTGCAAGAGGAAAACAACTAAACTGAAAAAATGACTTATTTTTTAAAAAAATATTGTGCATCATTCTTTAGAAATTTTACTAAAACACTTACCCACACCATTCAGAACATCTTGAATGATCACCAAAAACATGTCGAGGAATGGCCTCCAAGTTTTTCTTCATGCTGGCAGCATCTTCACTTCCCTTAACAGCATAGGCAAAGCATTTTGTAAGGTGATTAATTGCTTTTGGTCCAAGATTATTATATTTTTCTTCCTTTCTGAGTGAATAAAGCTTGTTTGTGACATTTTTTTGGTATGGTTGAAATTTGAGAATTTTTCTAGTGATTCATCAAATGATGCCCGAGCCCTACAAGTATATTACAAAATCATTTAGCAATTAATAAACCGTAAATACAGTAATTCTCAATTCAGTATGAAATGTACAATTTTTATAACATAAAATTATTACCTTGAGATAGTAGTAGTATCATTATCCATGATTAGTTTTTTCACATGGAATCCCTTGGATTTTAATTCACTGAGCATTTCCACTGCCATATCTGACTCCATTGCCTTGGAGGATTTTGTCCAATTTTTCCTACAGTCATGTTCATTAGGATTTTCCTTGTCCACAGCCCTGTCGCGAAATCTACATTTCTTACAACGTACAGCGTAACTTAAGACTTTTCCTGTGTTAACGCCTATCATACTTCCATGACCTGAAATTTAAAAACAATGTGTTCAACTAAATTTATATAAACATGTATAACATCAATATTGTAGTAAATATTGGAATAAAATAAGTATTTTAAATACACACCAGATAAGCTAGCATAGTTCCTTCCACTTCCTCTGGTTTGCCAGCCAGCATCGAAGGAAACAGCCTGGTCATCTTGACTTTGACAGCTGCGAATGCAAATAAACAAGAATAACTTACTCTCAAATAAAACAGAAAATGAAATAATATACATGTTGGTTCATTACAAAGTATAAAATGATGTAAATTATGCTATAATTATACATGTTCTTACTTTGGTACCAAAATACTATTGATATAAATTCTCTTCACCTTCTACTTTCAGCTCCAATTGCATGACTACATGTTTCACTGGCAACTGCTTCAAATGCAGATCCTGCCTCCCGTTCCCTTCTGGTTGGGGATATGCTAGGAAGGTTCAATGCAGCCAGTAAATTGTTGACAACACTCTCCCCAATACCACAGAATATCATTGCTGAAGTTTATTTATAAATTATTAAACTATGTCAATATATAAACATGTATTATTAGTCAGTTCAGAGTGAACTGTTATGTTTCATAGAGAAGCTAAAATCAATCTAATTGCAATTTATTCAAAAAGATTAATTATTTATGAACTGACTTGCACCTAATTTTGAGTTAACATCCCATATGTTGTTGGCATGACGTTTTCCAGTGGGCACATAGTTTATTTTGTGACAATTACAACATTTTACGTGGAGAAGACTCCCTGAAATTCAGTATAAAGAATTACAAGATATTCAGTCTAATCAAATGTTTACACAAAACACAGTAATAAGTCAAGAGTTACATACACCAAGGCCATATCTACTTTCTCCAATGTATGATGACAAATGTAATGCCTGTCCACAGTTTGAGCACCTTTAATAATAAAAATAATATATGTGTGATAAAATTTTAAGATGTACTTCATTTTGACATACCGTTCACGGTAGCTCAGTCGGTAGAGCGCTCGCTCCGTGATCGGGAGGTCGTGAGTTCGAATCTCGGCCGCGACAGACCTAAATCGATAAAAAATAGGTAGCAACTGTTCCTTCGCCATGCTCTCGGCACTTTGAAGTGAAAGTTGCGGGTCCTTCGGATGAGACCTTAAAAACCGAGGCCCCGTGTCACGGCAGGCGTTGGCACGATAAAGATCCCTCACTGCTCAATGACCCTGAGTGCCGAGTAAAGGTCAAAATTTGAAGCCCTTCACCGGTATATGGTGACGTCTCTATATGAGTGAAAAATTCTCGAATGGGACGTAAAACAATATACAATCAATCAATCAATCATTTTGACATTTTTTAATTGTAAAACCAAACTTATATAAAACTGTTCGAATATAAATGTACATACCCTTTCTCCAGTCCTTCTGCTAAAACATCGAGTTCAACAATATGTCTCCCTTGTACCGACTGTTCTGCGTTGTATATACAGGAGTCTTCATCTTCACACTCATCTGACTCGGAATCTTTTTCATCTATGTTTTCATCTATGCACATCTCACAATCATCTTAAAGTTTAAATATTAATTTCATTACACAATTCCCAGATTGAGTACAACTCTGCAATATTCAGATTACTTCAAAAGCTCATTTTAATATACTTTATATACCTGAAGTAGATGAAGATGTCAATAAATTTGAGTAGGAATGGTCATGTCCTATGGGCCTATATGTATCTTCATGTTGGGACGGTTTCCTCAATTTTCCTTCAAACTGGCCATGCCAATTTCTTTTTCGTTGTATGAAAGAAGTCAAGTTGAATTGACAAGTTTGTCTGAACAATAAGTATATTAAAACATCTATTAATGGTGACAGAAAGCTTGCACCGTGATGAAGTGATATGCTGGGCATACCAGAAATTGAAAACGTATAAAAATTATCTTACCTTCATTACTTTCATGCGTGTAGAAATGGTCATGTTCAATGACTTCAACCAAAGACAAAGCATGTCGGCGATCACTTCATTTTCTCTCCTATCCGCTATCGCATAACATTTACACTGAACATTAATTCATTATGCCGGTTTCTAACCGGTTATTTACATACTAGTTATTTCAGCGCTTAATTCTTGGTCGACATTATCGTCACATAAAGCGTTTAAAAGACCTGTATATTAAAATTATCTTTCTTACAAAAGAGTTCCATTTTCGGGTTCCTGTTTAATTCGCTACATGGAAAATTCTCGTTTTCGCCGGAAGAAGCTAGAGTTTCACCGGAAATGCAGCCATTATGACGTTGTAGCATTCGTCCTTAAATTTAGGTACAAAATGCTGAACTTTTCAAGATTATTCTAACTTTTATAGATAAATGTCGTCGTTTTTAATTTTTTCAATGAAAATTTATGTTCAGTTCGAATGGAAACCTAAAATATTACTACACTGTAGTTGGCATCTAATCTGCAGACATAAAAATACTGATAGTTTGCTCAACCTCCTTTTCAGCTTTGCATACAAAGATGAACACGAATATTTAATTTTTATTTGAAACACGCAAAGGTAGTTGTAAAAGGGTTGTTTTGTTCTCCCTTAGTGATCTGTTATTTATATGAAGGCATCTCAAACATTTATTTTTAGAGAAAGAAATGCACGATGATCGTAATGTATTTTTGTAAATGTCCTTACAACAGATTTTCAATACCACTTTACTTTCTACATGTTCAGGAAATCGAGAAAGCATAGGAAAACTGTGCAATCACTTATTTTCGTGGGGGTTTAATTTTGCTGTTTTCGTGGTTTTGAGGGCCAAGGAACTCATTCCCAACAAATTGTAAAAGTTCCATACTGCAGTATGATGTTTCTCCTTAAGGTATTCAATGTATAATGAAGGGATTTTGAAAATTTTTATTCATTTTAAACTAGTTAAAATTCATTTCTAGATAACGATGAAAGTGAAATGAACCAAATTCACATGTCTGATAACAAATAAGAAACTGATCATTTTGCACCTTTAAAAGTTTTTGAAGAGCTATCTGCCCCTTATGAAAAGAAGAAAATTTTAATTTTGTCAAAATATCTGTGGTAAATGATTGATTTTATTTAATATTTTAATAAAGAGAGAAATTATGCATATTTTCACCAAGAGATTGGTATGAAATTCAAGTTACTTTTTACAATATCTTAATAAAACATGCACAGCGCATAGACTTCAATGTAAAATTCAAGGTGCAATTCATTGCACAGTACTTAAAATTTTGTAAATTCCTTTGGTGGAGTATTTTTATTTCAAAACACCTTCAAAATGCTACCACGATTAATCATTCCAGACTATTCATTTATGGGGTACAAAATATTGTTGTTATACATTGAATACCTTAAACCACGAAATCAAATCCCCTCAAACCAGTACTTTTTCCTTAAACCTCGAAAATTTGACATCACAAAATAAGTGACTTAAAAGTAAGCAGAGACTTTTAGTTTAAATGTACAGGAAAAAATAAAGAAATTATATTACACAACAAGTTTAATTTTATATACCTATTTATCTGACAGTTGTTTCAAATTTTGATTTTTAATATCGTGCAAATGGCAGCAGACAATGCGTTTGGTAATGACTGGATCGATATTTAGCCTTTCCTGACTAAGAACTCGGTGTTTGGCACCGTTTAAAGAATCTGTTTTAGGTTTATCACTGAGTAAACATGTGCCAACACTTTTCTTTGTACTGCCCTATCTAGAAACCAATGAAAGCCCTCCCTCTTTCTATCTTTAGTCATGTTTTTTAAGTAAATTCTTGTTAAAATGTCTTTTTAAATAATGCTACTCCTTTGGTAGCTCCACTGATCATTTGTTAATCTAAAAATGCTTCTGTTGACTCGCCGGTAAACTTTCTGCCCAATTTGGTGTTAAAAGTCAGTAATTTCAACTTTGTACATCACACTGTATTAGTACTCTGTTAGATTCCTTTGATCAAGTTAATTACAGCAAACATCCTTTATAACGTATCTCAAGGAACTGTGTTGAATCCTACGTTATAACCGGTGTACGTTATAAACGGAGACCGGAAGTACTCAGTACAGCACACCTTTACCGTAATAACTTTTCAAACCGCTAGTGTGTTATTAATATTGTCGTGTAACCAAGTTAATATTGGTTACTAACTCAATAGAGTAATAAAGGCTGGTGCCTTACTTTAAACAGGCGACAGCAAACATGGTACAGTAAACATACTTAGGATGGGTGAGTCCAGGCATGCATCAAGGATAACAACACAGGTAACAATAATGTAGACAGGAAAACAGGTATATAAACGGGGTAAACGTGTTCTTAGTAAGGCATCAGGACCAGGACTGAAGCTTAATACGGAGCATCACGTGACATGCCCAGTATGCGGATAAACCAGGGTCTGAGGTCATGTACACAGAGAGTTGGGAGAATTTAAAACCTAATTTTACCACATTCCTCCCCGTTTTGTTTAAAAGGACTTGATCATAGTAAAATATATATATATATGATTCAGGGAATTAAACAATGTTAACTGGTCGAAACAATATTCAGACCTATGATAACAATGAATAATTATAAACATTCTACAAAAACTTGGTCGGAAAATATCCAGACCTAAAATTCTGCAGAAACCGTCATATGTATAGAACAGCTAACAGTTTTTAACATTTATACAGTCGACGACTATTCTAGACTGTCTGTTTAAGTAATTGCTGTATGGGAACTTGTAGCTTTGCAGCAACGAGGCTAGCAACATAACCAATGAATGCCGGAGTGTTGATATCTCCACCTTCTGGTTTCATATATGGAGAATCTGTTTCCAGAAGAATCAAGTTCAAAGGGAAGGACTGAAGGCCTGCAATTTTGTCAGCACTAGAGTTCTCAACAGCACCAGTGAAACCAAAATGAACATTGGAGTAGCTGTTCATCCATTCCTGGACCAACTCCGAGTCTCCAATAAAGCAATGGACACGAATAGGCAGATCGTACTCGCAAAACCTCTGTAGAATCTTCATGCAACATGCGTGCACATTCATGCCAATCCTGTCTGAAAGGGTTCCTCTCAGATGTAAAATCAACACCTTGTCCTTACGTACAAGGGAAAGTGCTTTCCGAAAAATATCTTCCTGGCGTCTCCACAGCTTTAAGGGAACTGTTCGATCCAAACCAATTTCCCCTAAACCAACAATATATGTTGAATCCAGTAAATTCTTCATGTGGTGATATCTCTCCTCTGTGAGTTCGTCTGCATGTTTTGGATGCACACTCAGGGCTATACCAAAGGGTCCACCAGGATGCAAGTATTCTGGATGTGTTGAGGGCTCACTATATATAATCACACTTCCTACAGTGTCACATCTAGATTAGGCTGACAATCACTCTGATTG